GCCGCCGCGCTCCCAAGCGGCGCACTGTAGCAGTGCGCCACTGGGCCGGCCCCAAGACCTGTATTTTAAATAAGCTGTTCCCACCCTCCCAAAGGTGATTAAGAGAGAGCAAACAGGACTTGGAACCACAATCTTGGGCAATTCTCTCTCTTGTCTCATCTCTAGCTCCTATGACTTAGGCCTCATATCCCAAATTCCTCAAGTTCTCAACTCCTAGAACCTACCAGCTCTCCAGCCAGCTCAGCACCTCAAAGATCTCCCGAGGGTCAGTGTAGAGACGCCAATCCTGTGGGTAAAAAGAGACAAGGGCACCAAACCAGACTCGGATATGAGCCACAGTCATTTAATAAAAGAGATGCAGCAGCAACTACCACCACCACTATGTCTAACATTTACTTTGACACCTACTGTGTGCCAGGTACAGTCCCAAGAGCTTTTACATATTGTAGTGGATTGAATTATGTCCCCCAAAAACTCTCTGAAGCTTGTGTCCCTGGAGTTTTATGTATTAGAAACTTAGCCCCCACTGTGACTGTTAAGAGGGTGGGAAATTCTATTATGGTAATTGAAAAGTGGAGCCTTAAAGAGGTGACTAGATTGTAGGATTGTACAGTAGTGAATGAATAAAAATGGTGGTCAAGGGCATGGTTCTGAGGGCTTTAAAAGAAGAGGAGAGTCAGTCTGTCTCTCTTGCTATCTCTACTCTCTCTGCTTCCACCGTCTTGCAATGTGAGACCCCTGGGTCGCTGTCACCATCACTGGATAGACTTTGGACTTCCCACTCTTAGAAATTGTAAGCAGTAAATTTCATTTTTCTTTATAAATCACTCAGTCTTAGGCATTCTGTTATAGCAACACAGAAAGGACTAATACACATATTCACCTCATCACCACTGACCTGGCTCCACATTATACCCTCCATAAACGGGAAAAGGAGAAAGTAACCCTGAAAATGGTCCATGCCCACAGAGAGCTCAGAGTCTCAGGTCAGAGAAAGTTTGGGAGCAAATACTCAGAGTCCAGCAGGATAAGCTCTGTCTCAGGGTGTACCCTGTGGGGCCCTGGGAGAATAGACAAGAGGAGGAAATGCTCCACTCCTGGCCTCATTGCTCCAGAAACCTCCAAAAGCTGTGATAAGTTCTGAAGGATAAGAAGGGAAGACACTAACAAAAAGGCACAAGGAGGACAGGCAGGAAGAGAAAAGAAACGACGAAAGGCTGAAAGAGAACAAAGGATGAAAGGAAGGTAAAGATGAGCCTGGAGAACAGAGCAAGAGAGAGAACAGCTACTTACCATGGCACTCAGGAAGCCCCTCTCCAGGGCATTGAGAGTGGGCACGGCCACACCCCCAGCAGCTCCCCATTCATCATTGAAGACCTCTTCTTCTTCCCCTTCATCATAGAGGTACTTACTGGCCACCATCTGCAGAGAAACCACACAGTGGTGTCAGCAGAGCTCACACTGGGCTCTTGGCTCATTAGGGAGATGAAGAGGAGGGGGCGTCTTACCATGGAGATCAGGAACAGGTCAGATGATGACACATGCTGCAGGTAGTCTGGGTTTCGGTGCCGGAGCCGCTCAATGTACACCAGAGCTAGCATCATAGCACATGGGGAGATGCATGCCTCCCTGGGAGATGGAAAGGATCAGTAATTAAACCCAAGAGTCCTTCAGCCCTTGCAACTCTTATGAAGCTCATCCCTGTCTTGACACCTCTTTAGAAATAACCATTCCTCTCTCTCTCTAGGGCCCAACCACTCTCGTCCTATTCTTGCCAATTCCAGGCTCACCGGGACACATGAGCTACATATTTCTTCTGGAGTCGGCGAATAGGGCTTGGGGCTGCCTTCTGGAGCAGTTCCACAGCAATGTCTACAAGGGTCAAAAGGCAGAGTAAGCAAACCCCCCCCCCCCCCCCCCCCCCCCCCCCCCCCCCCCCACC